ACATATATACATGTATGTACATATGTATGCCTCTTGGTATTTATGTGCGAGTATGGCTGCAAAAGACTGTGTGCAATGGCAGGCACTAAGCAGCATATCTCACATTCTTCTAAATGGTTCAATGGTGGCCGCAAGTGGTACGCTGATAAGCAAACATGCTTGTGGTTGTGGTGTGAGAGAGAAGAACGTGGTAAGCGATGCTTCGCATTGCCAATCATTAAAATGTGACAACGAACGATTGAACGCAGCAAAAGTGGAAATGATCGAAATGAGCAAAGCAAACAACGACGAGTGCTATTGTTTATCATGGCATAAAGTATGTATGTACACATGTAGTATATGCTCTCACTTAGCAAGGGCTGCCGACAATTCGAAAATTGTTTTTACAAAAGTATATGGCGGTAGATAAAAGGAAATGTGAAAAGATAGCTTTGAGTAACGACATTTGATGACGCGTGCGTTGTCTGCAAGTAAGAGTGAAAATTAAATGATTGCGAGCGTTTTTGAAGATATCAGTTAGCTGCGGTGTGGTAAATTGCGTTTAATGATATAGGATGAAGGATGGAAAAAAGGCTGAGCTACAAAGTGGTAAATATCATCAATGGATAAATGTTGATTCTGAGTAAGAGTTGATAGGATTAGATAGTGACTTTAGACAATTACAGAATCTCAAATTTACCCTACCCTATAGCTGTTCATCGTGGTATTATGAATGTCAGAGGCGATAGAGACCAGAATTTTTTTATTTTGCTATGGATCTAAATTTTTAGAAGCCTAACGGCTTACATACGAGTCTCTTTTGTGTGATGATAACATGTCTCTTTTGTGTGAGCTATCGCGAACGCCCCAAAATTCGAAATCAGCCCAAAATTTTACTTCAGCCGCATACAATTCTGATGGGGATAGAATTCAATCAACATTTACTTATGTAAGTGTTATCCTTTTCATTTGGGTGTACGAAATTGGTAAATTAACACATGCGAGTGATTAAGATTGCATTTATTTTCCTGCCATTCTTCTTCTTCCTTATTGCCACAGTAACCGCCTCAGCGCTTTTTGCGAGTCCAGACGTTTTTTAACTAACGCCAAATCGGAGCCGATTTTATTTTATGAGAGGCTTTTTCAAGGCAGAAATACACCCGGAACTTTGCTTATGGCTGCCAAAGGGCGACCCTGTTACGAAAACCTTTTTCTGATTTAGATGTTGCCCGGGATAGGAATCGAATCCAGCTCGTGCAGAGTTTGCGGAATGTGTGAATTTGTATTTAAAAATATTTTAAATATCAGGAAGCCAAATGGTAAACTGTTCCCTCTTGCGATGAAGGCCTCCGTCTAGTTTATATTATGTAGAATTTATAAGTATTAAACATCAGAGTAGTTTGCCTTCGAAAATTTTAAATTATCTTTGTGGGGCCATTGAGCTCGCTAATTTGCAGCGTTTTGGTGTTGGTTTTTCACTGGCTTTTTGGTGCTGATTAAGAATCCGTAGGTGAGTCGTTTATTTTGAAAGTGGCACAAATGACTCAAAAAAATCAAGTTAATGATAACATGGATTACCCCGAGCAAAAGTCAATTTTGCCCACAAAAAATATATACTTCCAAAACTAGTAGCCCAATACAAAAAAAAACTGTGGAATTGAAAAATATTCATTTTTTTCTGGTGCATAAGGACGAATAGGTATTGAAAATGTCCTTTTAAAATTTTTTCCTTGAGTATCCTTGCAAATTTGTGTTTATTTTTGAAAAAATTGTAGGTTAAGGATTAATGTACACACGACCATATTCTCGAATTTCGTCCTTTTACTTTAATGTATATAAAATTAAAAATATTTAAAAGGAAATTTTCAATATCAATTCGTCCTTGCGAACCCAAGAAAATTTAATATTTTTAATTCCAAAGAATTTATGTTTCATTTGGTATGTACCCACATTGTTAGTCGAGATGGGAATGTTACTCATACGCCATCTACGTACGTTCGATTGCAACTTTCCCGTGATAAATGGTAGACCCAATACGGATCCGAAATTTTGAATTTTTAAAATCTGATTTCAGATTCCTAATCAGCGACCTGAAGAACTCCCGACTGTAAAGTTTTAAGCGAATTTAACTGATTTTAATTTTTTTGCCATTATACTGGGTCCGTCATTTTGAATCTTGCAAATCGGACTTCAGATTCGTTATCAGCGACCCCAAGACGCCTCGACATTGCTCTTCCACTTCGGTTTAAATTAAAGCTAGAACACTCGAAAAGTACCCCTGAAAATGCCATCCCTGCACTTTGACCTGATAGTCTTGACTTATAGTCATTTATTAAACAATAAAAAATACTAGAAAATATTGACATTGAAAACAAAAATATTGTTCAAAATTAGTTGTTGCTGCTCAATAAATAATTATGTATAAGTGACCATCAGGTCAAGGTGTAGGGATAATATTTCCAGGGATAGTAGTTGCGAGTTCGAGCTTTAATTTAAGCGCCATTAGTTTCTTTCCAGAGCTTCTCAAATATTGCAAAACCCCCGATTTTTGAGACTTAGGCCGCATTTTTCTCAAAATCTGGAGCTGATGGAAACTTTTTATATACTTGCGGATTCTTAATCAGCACTAAAAAGTCTATCAAAAACAGATTTAACATTTGCCGCACCGAAATATTTTTTTAATTTTTGTTGGCCTGTGTAATTGAATGTTGTGGGCCCAGGTTTTCCAAACGGCTTTTTTATGGTGCCCGTAATGCTGGTTTTCCATTTTAATGGGCTGAGTTTTTCTAACTGATTTTTTTCTCTGTTCGGATTACTTATTGTGCTCCCAATGCGGCATGAGGAAATTTCCTTTGTCAAACTTTAACACAATCGATACACGCATATGCACACATTTATGCTTCGATCAAACAACAATCCATTTCACACAACATTAAACTAACAGTGAATTCAAGTTTGATGCTTTTGAAAGTGTCCGATGGGGTTTATGCGGCTTTCAAAACAATGGATTTGTAATGACAGCAAAGAGCGATGTTTTTTGAACCCATTACCTAAAATTGATCTCAGATGGGAGTTATATTTTTAACGTTTAATTTTTGCTCAAAAGCTATTTTACCAGCACGATATGAATATCGCTAGAGTGAAAAGTCGCTAAGTAAACTTTTTATGAAATTTTTTTTTTTTATATAGTATTAAGCATATTAAAAATGCATTATTGTCATAAACGAGTATCTACTTCGTTCCAATTCAGTGAAACATATCGCACACGTTCCTCAAAAGTGTGTAAATTGGAAATATGCCTTTTTCATATTATGTGCTAGAAATATCCACAGATCGTGAACGTCCCTAGAAACGCTGAAACAAAAGTTTGCTATGATTTATTGCAAGAGGCACATTAAACAATCCTTTCCATATACAAATAAATAGTATATTATTAGCGTGAGCTACAAAAAAAAAATCATTTGCGGATAAATTGGAGTTAACTCACATTTGTAGAACGCGTGCGATACATTTACGTATACATCTTAACAAACATAGGTAGGTAATAGAGGTCAGAGCTTCATTAAGAGCACTTTTATTAGCTCATAATCACGCGTCAATGCTCTTCCAATGGAATAACTAATATTCGTGTGTTTTAGTTCCATATAAGTATGTAAATAAGTATTGGCGAGCGAATATTCGCTTAATTAAAACGCGCTCAGCAAAACCGCAGCCTGTTGCTCGAATAAACCTTTATAACGCATTTAAATTAATTTTTGAGTTAAAATATATCTTCGAATATTATTGTATTTAAAATAATTTCTAATGTAGTATTCTGTCCGGAAACAAGGTCTCATGAATAAGTACACCAGTGCGTATGTGTAACGTTTCGCATTGAGAGACAGGCGCTAAGCAGCTCATTGAACAACTGATTTGATTTGCTTTGCCATATCAATTAGTAGACCAACAGCTTGCACTACGAAGCCTGCGCGGGCCTTTTCGGTCTTATAAGGGTTTTATAGACTGTTTTATAGAGCAAAATAGTAGCGTATTTTCTTTTAAGTTAAGCTTAACCCCATCTTTACTATATATTTTTTCGTAACGGAGTTCAAGGTCCTGAAATAGTTATAAATTTTTAAGTAAAACGAATTTATGAAAATTTTGTTGCTAAGTAAAAAATCTTATTAAAAAACAACACTTCGATAAATGTTGATTAGGTTGCGCTTTACAAACTTAGCTAAGTAAATATTGAAGTACTATTTTAAGTATTCTACGAAACGAAAGAAAAGACAACAAAAAGGTGAGTTCCAATATTGCAATACCTACATACCTGTGTATGTATATATTATATGTATATATACCATCACTATTAAGCATTTTAAATTACTATATTGTAAGGCTAACATTTATACTTAAATCATTTTATGTAAATTTTTTGTGTCTCAAATGCACCTTAAGCATTTTTTCACCAAAACTTGCCACTCCTGCACTTTCTCAATAATAAGTGTTGTAATTTAGTTTATTTCGTTTTCTATTGTATTTCAATAATAAAATAGTTAAAATAAAAGTAAAATTCAAAAAAAAAAAATCGGGATGAAGTCAGAAAAGTATCAGCCAAACCAATTGATCTTTATTTTATACATAAATTGAACAAGCTGACTGCCAGCAAAGCGGCAAGAATATTTGCAAGCAAGCAAACACACATTACGCTGATAAATTAATAGATACTCGTATCATCAATGTTTAGCAGCACCCAGCAGCAGTATGTAGTAGCGTTTGAATAACTGCATTAAACCTAAGTTCAATAAACGAATGCTGCTTTGTAAACTCTACAAAATTTTTTTTGCATAAAAAAAAAAAAAAAAAAACAATACAACAACAACAATAATATGTTACAGCCTCCACAGTTTTTAGCAAGAAAAAAAATCTATGAAAAATAAAATGTTACAATTTGCAAAACAATAACAAAACAGAAAAAAACAAAAACAAAAAAACTTTAAATTCAACTTGAACAATTCCTTCCTTCCTCATTCAAATTACAGTCAGAATAATGGGCATGGACGAGAAATTGCATCTGAAAATGTTCGAAGACAATCTGGCGCTCATTGATACGCCTCTCATAGCGACAGCGACGAGCACCCACTATCCGGGCACGGTGACAACCTCGTTGCATACGCTGCACGGCATACTCTTGTACCCCTTCAATGTGAGCGACTTCCAGCAGCGTCACGCCGCCCCAGCTGGCCATGAGTCCGCCGCCGGCGCTCTAGATGTCATCGACACTGGCAACTCGTACGGCTACGATCAGGCAACTGGACATAGCAGTCATGGCCATAGCCACGGCAGCGCCAGCGGCAATGTTTACTATCAAAGTATGTGTAAATGTTTAGCTCTACAAGTACATACATACAAACATAAATTAAAAAAAAAATATGAAAAGCAAAAAAATGAAATAAAAAATAGAAAATATGGAAGAGGAAAGAGGTAATAAAAAGAGTTTGCAGGCGCTCATAGCTGGAAAAATACTTACTTGAAAGTTATAATAGTTAGCTGAGAACAAACAAAAAAACCTGCAAAAGCTCAAATTGTAGGGCATAGTCGCCGCTTAGTATTTAGCTTGAGTGAACCGTTAGAACATGCGCTTTTCTTTGTTATGCCCACGTGTACGTAATTGTGTGTATGTGTGTGTTTGCGTGTGTGCATAGGCAAGCTACAACTTGTGTACGAGTATTTTCAGTAGTCCAGTGGGAGCGTAGAAGAGTGGCGGCGCAAAGTGTTGGAAAACTAATTTATGCAATGTACATATACATATATAAATTGTTAATTTCACGAGTATAATATTTATTTTTTACGAGTATTTTAAATGCTTTTATTTTAGTTTTTTGTTTATATTTTTTTATTGTTTACAAAAATGTGCTAATTCGTAAACTTTTATTGTGCTACGAAAAATAGTGAAATTACATACATATATGTATGTATATGCATTAGGGTGCATCAGTGTACATAAAACAAAAATATCTGTACTGTTTTTCCTTCGGAAATATAAAATTTATTATGTTTTAGGACGTACACCAAAATATTTCGGAAAAATAATATGATTTACGTAAGTGGGAAATACCTTCCAAATCGAACGTTTTATAAAAAAAAAAAAGTTTTTGAAATTTTTTTTAAAATCCTCTCAGATTATAGATGAGTATAAGTCTGAAAGGCATTCATAAAAATGTTTTAAAATTATATTAACGGAGTCAAAGTGTTAAGATTTTGTAGGTGTGTTCAAATCGGTCTAGCTCACGTAAATCTTAATATTCTTTCGAAATATTTTAGTAAATATATTAAATTTTATATGTAGGTACTTACGTTAGAAAAACCGCAGCTTTTTTGGTAATGCACCCTAATGTACATATTTTAGGTATGTATGTATATGTTTTTACATATTTTTATATTATCATTTTCTATTTTTAATTTTCCGTTATAAGCCAAAGCTTCTTATGTGGCACCCAGCCACGCCTACTCTACACTCGACAAATGTATTTTTTGAGTTAAGTGTTTTCAGAAATTCAAATGAAATACAATCAAAACCAATTCCAACAACAACAACAATAATATATGAAACAAAAAATAATCTCAATAACAAATCTGTGGCTATCAACGACAACAAGAGCAAACAAAAAATAAAAACCAAAACACAAAAGTCAGCATAAAAAACGAAGGCGAAACGAAAACAAACTACCGCTTTGTTATTTTATTTGTTTTGTAAAATTTTCAAATTTATTTTTAACTGCCACAATTTGTTTCGATTTCGATTGCCTCCTGTTCGTAATTAAATCTATGAATAAGCTTAAACAAAAGTACAAACAACAACAACATTTTTGTATTAAATAGCAAAACAAATATCTAAACAAAGAATTGAAAGGAAAAACAAAAACAAAAACATTTTTTTCAATTTTCGAATTTTGTTACATAAAATTCAATTCAATTTTTTCCGCACTCTTACAAATTTTTTCTATTCTACGCACTGTTTTACAGCAACAAAATAAAAATTTGTTAAAAAAAAAAATAAAAATTTTACCTACATACATTACTCGTATATTTAAATATTATAATTAATTAAAAACGAAGCAAGTACTACACATTTTTCAAAATTTCATGCAAATCAGTTCCGTTCATTATTGTGTTCGAATTTGAAATTTTTATATTGTTACATATGTTCATATGTACATACATGCAATCAGATGGCTCATATTTCATACTGTCAATGCTAAAACTATTCCAACACTAACAATTCAAATCAATTCAATTCAATACCTATACTATGCTAATTAGTTACAGGCTCATACACAACACTTTTTGTTTCATTCGCTAGTTTTAACTAGTTTTGGTTAAATTTTTTATATCTTCATTTTTTCCCCCAACTTCAGAGCATTAATTTTTATTAAAATATTTAGTACGAATATTAGACAATTTTATATTCGGTTCTGCGCAACGATTTCATGTGTGTACATAGCAACCACATGCATTTCAAGCAACATATTCACCAACATACAAACAAACATACATACATAAATATGTATTTGTTTACAAACATTGCAAATTTTTCGTTAAATTTTCACTTCCGAAAACAATTTTTGTCTTTTGCGTCATCATTATCGCTTTAAATTGTTGATACCGTTTTTGTTATTACCACCGTTATTGATTTTTAAAAAAGTTTCGCAAATTTTATTTCTTCGTTTAGATATTAGTTTACCTTTTTCCAACTCAAAATGTATGTATGTATGTACACACAAATTTTATTATAATTTTGCAAGCCTAACAGCCAATTTCACGACAGCAATATATGCAAGTGAAAAATGATTTTAATTTTGTGAATTTCATATGGAAATTGATAGAAAATTAAAAATAATTTTCCATTTAAATTGCTGGTGAAACAGGCTGTAAGTATATTTGATTTAAAGGGTTCCCTTTTTGATTTAAAGAGCTTCCTTCTTGTTTACAATAGAAAGCGACATTCAGCGAGTAAAAGCCGAACAATTTTCAGCTTAATCGAAGTCTTACAAAAAAGGCTAAGCATAATTACGCTGTTAAGTAAAGAACGCTTCTGTAGTAACTAAACTTACGCTTTAAGGTAGATCTTTGACAATAACACTTTCTCTTGGTAGAAATGTATTAAGATATCCTCGAAATACCCCGCCATTTTGTAGGTAGATGAGAAGGTATGTTCTCAAAGCAACGCAAGTTACAAAAAGCAAATAGAAGCAGGCCTGTCGGTGTGTGTCTGATATCAGGTAAAATTCGTACTCCGTTATAATAATTCGTTGTAGATTTTGCGCTGGAAGCTGAGTGGAAGACCTTCTAACTCTGGGTATTCCATATAAAATAAAGGGTAAATATTCAAGCATGGATTCAGGGTTAAAGGAGGCCAAAATAAGGCTTTAATTTAATTTGTAGATAGGTATGTTTGCCACTGCGTATGAATAATGTTAAATTGAGGAAATGAGTGTAGGCAAGGCACATTGAATAAATAGCAGCAGCGCGGTTGCGATTTGGATTTTTTTTTTTTATTCGAAGTGATCCATGAATTGTCATTTTTGTTAACATTTTATTTTGTAGTGTCAAATATGTTTTCCTTTTCTGTTGACAACAAAAGAATATATGCAATGCTTGTAAAAATACTATTCCAGGGGTGGGCAAGACCGAGGCGGAAACGAGCCGCATATAAATTCTAAATGGAGAATTTCATTGGCTTTCATTTTCCGTATTCTTTTTCAAAATTTTTAAATTTGTTCGTTAGATATACGTGATCAAAAGGAACCACTTTTTGTTTTATGCGGAATAACGGTAAATTGCAAATATCTCGAAAACGTATCCAAAGAAAAAAAAAACAAACTCGATTTTCGAAATCACCGAGCGATTCTATATAGGGATTGGATAGTGGCGTCTGGATAACAAAAACCAAATAGTTAGGGTGTAAAATATTATCCATGCCACTGTCACTCATTGGAGAGTATCCGCCGCCATTCGTGATATTGCTACTTTCTTGCGTGTCTGGCTGAACTGAGTACGGCTAGTGCATGTAATGATTTTGTGAACGCTAAGAAAACGGCGAATTGGTTTAACTTCTAGGTAAAAAGTTTTGTTTATCATTTATACAAATAAGTTCAGCTGTGAATTGTGATTTAACAAGCAATTATTTTTTTAAAGTGGTTACATTTTTTCATTTGGCAAAAGTTTGATATTCTATTTTCAAATAAATTATATCGAGCCCCAACCGCAAAAATAACGTAAGCGACGTTATTTCTAAGTTTTCTTTTTTGTTACAGAAAAGCATTTCTGGATCCAAAATTAAATTTTAAAAAATGTAGCTTACGTTTGTGACAGTTAGAGCTCGATGAAAATAGTTACACATTAGGGTAGACCTTAAAAATATCAGCATTTAAATTTTATATGAGGCATGATTTTATTCTGTTTGGAAAAAATTTATAAATTTAAATTTCAAAAATTCGACAATTTTTTGACTTAAAATCTGATAAACAAATATTATTGAAACTTATTCATATAACTTAATAAACTCGGTGAGTGCTTTCTGGTCAAAGTCAAAATAAATTGTTTCAAATCCTGGTAGCTAGCCGATTTTTTTTTTTTTTTAAATTTCGAAAATTGTGTCTTTATTTTATATATATAACAAAGTAAACTGATGTCCTATGATGGTGATATTTTAAGGGCCATCCTAATACAAATATTATATTTCCGCTTTGTTATTACTTTTTCCCCTTGTGATAGATGAACGTAATATAAGCACATACTAAAACCCCTTTTTCCAGTTATATATTCGGGATGCTTGGTAAGCTCGCAGTAGTGCATAAAATTATTCCCAAAAAACATTTGGTTAAAAAAATCAAATGCCCTTTGAATAGATATTGCTTTGGATGAAAACTTTTTATAAGTAAGTACACCTACGTTATTTTGTGAACTTAACTGGGACCCCTTGCAATGCCTTTAGCAAAAGTAAGTCTTGCAAATAAGTATGACGCGTCAATTAAAGTAGCCTCAGTCGAGATAGACCAATTTTCCTTTAAACAAATATTTTACACATTCTCTTCTATACAAAATTTTAACTTATTTATTACTTTTTAATTCACAGTCCAACCTTCTAAAGTCAGTTAAGCTACTTTTGGTTTTATTTAAAAATTTATTTTCACTTTTGATTTTTTGAGTTCTTTTTTTATAATTTTTATTTTCTTCTTAATTTGTCTTGCTTTGAATGATTTCAGCATTAAACTGTCAAAAAGTGAGTTGCCCACCTTCAATTTGCAATTGAACGCGAATTGCGCTTTACCATCTAAAATACATAAAAAAGCAAAAAAAAAATTGTCTA